AATGTGGGACATCATATGCTGCTGCTGCCGCTCATACACTTTTAAAATGACCATTTTTATATGCTTTGACTGCAAGAGATATGCGATCTTCTAATCTGATGCTTGAATCTGCTGGTTTTGATGCCATATTGGACAAAAGGCTGGATTTGATGATGATCCAATGGATGCAAGGTTTCAGGGGTTGAGTGTCTCGCTCGCTTGTGGATTACGTTAAGCTAGATATAGATAGGCGGTCATACCGGCCACCCAATAAGAGACATCATCCATCACTTTCCACACCATGCTGCGGATCACGTGCCCATACTGACCGAATTCGACCTCTCGCTCGCGCCGCGCGCGGAGGTATGCCGGCGACAGTGGCGGGAAGCCAACTGGGAGGGGTTCCTGAAGGCGCTGGCGGCGGTACCCATGCCGCTCAACCCCCTGAACACTCCAGACCAGGCTGACCAGGCTGCTGAGCACCTAGTGCGCGCCATCCTTGGAGCCACGGAGTCTACTGTTCCCAAGGCTCGCATCTGCCGGTTCTCCCAGTCAGGCTATACCAAGGAGCTAGCCCCCCTGCGCGCGCAGGTCAACCGAACGCGCCAATGGGCCCGCACGGGTGATGAAGCAGACGTGGAGGCATACCGACGGGCTGTCCACCAACTAGAACGCCAGAGCCGAAAGACGGCGACCAAGGCTCACCGGGAGCGTGTGGATGAAGCGACGCAGGCCCTGGACGGCTTCTGGAAGCTGGCCCGTTGGGCCCGGCGCCGTGGAGAAGCGCAGCCAACCTTCACGCCAACCCTGGTGGCGGATGACCACGAGATAGATCGACCCGAAGAGAAAGCCGCGGTACTCCGAGAGGCCCTGTTCCCCCCGCCCCCGGAAGCTGATCTGGCTGATACGCTTGGCTACCAGCACCCTGACCCGATTCCAATGCCCCCAGTGACTGAGGAGGAAGTCGCCCGCGCAGTCAAGCACGCGGCGCCTCTTAAGGCGCCAGGCCCAGATGGTATTCCCAACGCCGCGATCCAGAGGGCTCTCCCAGTGGTTAGGCCGTATCTGACGCACCTCTTCAACGCCTGCCTCTCGCTAGACTACTGCCCCAAGCACTTCCGTGAATCGACCACTGTGGTGATTCGCAAGCCAGGAAAGCCGGACTACACGACCCCTAAGGCGTACCGACCTATTGCGCTGCTTAGCACGATAGGGAAGGCGCTGGAAGCCGTCATCGCCACCCGGATGAGCTACCTGGTGGAGGCCTACGGGCTTCTCCCCACCAACCACGTTGGGGGGCGGCGCGGCCGTTCGTGCGAGCATGCCATCCATCTGCTGCTAGAACGGGTGCACGCGGCCTGGCGCGCTGATGACCGAGTCGCGAGCCTGCTCACCCTAGACGTCTCCGGCGCGTTTGATAACGTGTCTCACCAGCGGCTTCTCCACAACCTACGCAAACGGCGCATCCCCACCGATATCGTCAACTGGATAGCGAGCTTCCTTACTGAGCGCTGGACCACGTTGGTTCTGCTGGAGGGCCCCATGGGCCGGTATAGGGTGGATACGGGCATCCCTCAGGGCTCCCCGCTCTCCCCGATACTATACCTACTCTATAACGCCGATCTGATCGATGAGATACACGCAGCCTTCCCCGGCCAGGTCATGGTCACGGGCTATATCGACGACATCTGCATACTAGTTTGGAGTAAGTCAGCCCTGGTAAACTGCCGCCGGCTTGAGAGAATACACGCCCTTGCGGAATGCTGGGAGGCGCGGCATGCCTCCCGATTCAACCCAGCCAAGTACGGCCTCATCCATCTCTGGTCCCGCCGCCGCGGTATACCGAGGCCCCTAGGCCCGCTGGACCCGGGGGCCCGGTTCCGTGACACCGAGGTCACGCCGGACCCGATTTTGAAATACCTGGGCGTCTATCTCGATGAGAACCTCACCGGCGCGGCGCACGTGGATCGTATCCGGAGGAAGGCGGCTCACCTTATCTCAGCACTCAGCTCCATCGCGGGCTCGACCTGGGGGGTAGGCCTGCTGCACCTCCGGCGTATGTACACCGCGGTGCTATGGCCGCAGATCACGTACGCATGCTCAACCTGGTATATCCGGGGGGGCTTCGGCTTCAAAGGTGCCGACACAGCAGTCCGCAAGGCGATGGAATCAATCCAGTATCAGGCCCTGTACCGCATCGCCGGTGCCTTTCGCACAACAGCCCGCGCGGCCCTGGAGGTCTGCCTTGACGTGCCGCCGGCGATGCTGAATCTCGCCCGTACGGCGGAGGAGGCGTGTGCTCGGCTGATGACGTCACCATTGCGCCACGAATTGCATGCCATACGCTCACTAGGCCGCAGGCCGGCGGGCTCGCGGTATGCGGACCCCGATAGGGACCCCCTGACGTCCCCGCTGGAGCGCCTGGAGCGTCGGCTTCGGGGCCAGCTCGGTATCTCTCCTACCGATATCGAAACGATCGAGCCGTTTGTGGTCAGCCCCTGGTGGCAACCACCTGACGTCGCGATTGCAGATACCCGGGAGCAGGCCCTAGGGGAGCACCTTGCGGTGCTCGCCGGGGTCTGGGGCCCAAGCACAATCATCGCCTACACAGACGGGAGCGGGACCGACAAAGGGGTCGGCGCGGCGGTGGTATCACCCCTGGGGAGCCGGGCGTGCCGGCTCGGCTCGCTGGACTCGCATACGGTCTACGCAGCGGAGCTCTGCGGCGTGGAGATGGCCCTACGCCTAACTGCGCGCGCAGAGAGCCCTATCACCCAATTTCTGAACCCCCTGAGGAAGCGCCAGATCACCATCTTCATGGACAACCAAGCCGCCATACGGGCCAGCGCGGAGCCGAAGGGCTCCTCCGGGCAGTACTACATCGGGCAGATCGTCAGGCTATTGGATCACCTGCGCGTCGACGGGTGGCAGGTGCGGCTGCAGTGGCTCCCCGGGCACGAGGGGGTCTACGGCAACGAACGAGCTGACCGCCTGGCCAAGGACGCGGCAGAGGGTGACGGCGAGCCGGCTGGGCCGGTGCTCTACGCCTCACTACGCCGCCGCCTCCGGGCCTCGATGAGGGAGCACTGGCACCAATTTTGGGCCAATCATGCTCATGGCGCAGCCCTACGGAGAATCTTTACGGCCCCAAGCCGCGCCGTGCTCCAGCTCCATGTGGGCTTGAAGCGCACGGCCAGCTCAGTGGTGGTACAGATGCAGACTGGTAAGATCGCACTGGCAAGCTATCTCGGCTCGTTCAGGGCGATGCCCACGGTGGATTGTACCTGCGGCCTAGACCGTCAAGATGTTCAGCATATACTGATCGCCTGCCCGACCTACGCGGAGCTCCGGCTCCGTACAGTCTGGCAGCACTCACGGGAGACTAACTACGCTCGCCTGCTTTGCGAGCCTGAGTCAGTGCGGCGAGCCGCCCGCTTCATGATCGCTACGAGGCTCCTAGGCCAGTTCCAGGGCTTACCAGACACATTCCGGGTTAGCAATACGGGTGGCGACCCCTAACCTGTGTGCCGCCACGGCTCGCTTGCAGGGCTTATTTGACGAGGGAGAACACTAGGCTAGACACCTCTCGGGGTGGGTGGATCATCTAGACGCAAAGATAGGAGCAGCGGGCATTATACTAGGCGCATCTACGGGGGTATTAGGGACGAATTCGTGCTCGCTGTGGATCTAGTGTATGTAAGACAGTAGCGGCGTACCCAGCCGCCAGCAGGGACCTGCCACCACTCGGCCTGACAGGAGCGTGAACGAAATTAATAATAATAATAATAATAATCATCATCCAGACATGGGAGAAGAAGGATCGGAGTGCCGAATGGGTGTTGGCCAGCGCGGATGACATATTAGGGGACATTGATGAGGGGTATGACAGTGACGACGCCATCCCACCCCGCTTATCGCCCCCCACGTCGTCCATCACAGCGATGATCCATTGCCCGCTATAGACATGCACCGGTCTGGCCGTCGACCATTCCAGTAGCAGGTGACGTGGATGATGCACCAGTTCATGATCCGCGGGACCCATGGCCCCATGGAAATGTTGCTGGACTGGCGCATATATGGGTTATAGGTATATTATAACCACACCAGCCCCGGGCATGTGACATGGATGGGTGAGGATCAGTTATTATATCAGCAGATCGCGTTCACGATGGGGGATTTTCGTGGATTCGTCCATGGATTGGTGACTGCGGCGCAGGAGATATTGGCCAGTTATGCATGCAGGAATACCACCAGATGCCGCCCATTCCATGGCCAGCATTGTACGATAACCCTAGCGAGAGCCAGCCTGGGTGGAATTTTTTGCAGGACGCACGGACGCGGTGGCTGGTCGACGGGGCCCACTGGATGATCCACTGGGTGCGGGCCGAGCCGGCCATGCAGCAGCAGTTCATGCGGGGGGCTGATTCCACCCCCCAGCCATCCAGCAGTATTGGCAGCGCGTGGCCCAGTTTAAGGGCAAGTTAGCCATCATGGTCCATGTCACCGCGGGGCAGCGAGCATGGGCCCTGGAATTATTAAGTGTCTAGCATACAAACACCGTCAACCGCCGGCGGCAGAATATATATATCAAAGATGGGATGGTCACATTCGTGACAGCATACCACAAAGGGTTCCACGCCAGCAATGATGTGAAAATCATCCATTGATATGTGCCCCGGGAGGTTGGCAAGTTGGTGATTTGGTATATGTGGTTGGTGATGCCATTTATTGACCAGTTAGCTGCATGGCAGGCGTTGCAGATGACCCCGCCCACGCAGACGCCCTAGATGACCCAGACCGCCCACCACGCATGGTTATGGGGTCCCGATCCCGGCACTGGCCGCGAATGGTCATCCGAGCGGTTCCGTGAGGTGTTAAAGCAGGAGACACGCACCCGATTGAAGAATGCAATCTATATTGCCGCATACTGGGACATTGCCATTGGCATCAGCTGCTGGTTTTTACAGCCATCCACCGCATTTCCCAATAATGTATAAGAGGCTAACCACACCCCAGTGGCCATGGATGCCGATGCCGAGGAGCACATGGATCATGAACAATGGATGGGCCATATTACGGATTTACAGGCCGCCCATTCATCGCATGTCGCCGGCATGGTATATGGCCGGGGGATCCAGGAGCAGGCCGGCACCATGGCCCACCGGCGGGAGATGTTTCGGTTATCCAGCACAGATTGGCACCAGTTTTTAGGGTTTGGGGTCCCAGCCCCCCATCCACATTAGGCAAGCGCAAACAGGCCCCGTGGGCGGACGAGGCCGAGATCAGCCGGATGGAACGGCGGCACCAGCTGGCCACCATGGATTTGAAGGCGGCCGCGCAGCGCATGACCGGGCAGCCCATGATGTGGTTCCGGGGGGTGCAGGACCCGGCCATCCGGGCCATCCAGCAGGGGGAGAGCCCCGTGGTCGCGGTGATGCCCACCGGCGGCGGCAAGAGCATGTTGCTCATGGTGCCCGCGTTTGCCACGCCCGGCGGCACGACCGTGGTGGTGCTGGTCCCATTGGTTGCATTACGGGCCGATATGACCAGGCGATGCCAGGAGCTCGGCATATCATGTGTGCTGTGGGAGAGCCGGCGGCCCCTGGATGCCGCGTCCATCGTGTTGGTGACCCCCGAATCCGCGGTCAGTCCCGATTTCCAGACGTTTTTGAACTGGTTGCGGTGGATGCGGCGGTTAGACCACATTATGATTAATGAATGCCATGTAGTGTTGAACGACCAGCGGGATTTCCGGCCCTAGATGGCCCAGTTAGGGAAATTAGTGCAGGCCCGCACCCAGATGGTGTGGTTGACCGCCACGTTGCCCCCGAGCATGGAGGAGGAGTTATGCCGGCGGATGAAGCATGATTGGGTTGCCGTGACCATTTACCGGGCCCGGACGAGTTGTCCAAACGTGGCATACCGGGTGTGGCGCCCCATGTTGACCGGGGTCGGCCGGGGTCCGTCCCAGTGGATTGAGAGTGAGGCGGTGGTGGCATTCATCCAGGACCGAATCCGACGAGCGGCGGGCGGCAAGGTGATCATATATGCGAATATCATCGGGCAGGTGACGGCCATGGCACGGGTATTGGGGTGCGAGGCATATTATAGCGACCAGCTGGACAAGGCCGGGGTGTTGGACCGATTCATGGGGACCAGCGCGGTCATCGCGGCCACCAGCGCATTAGGCATGGGGGTGGACATTCCTAATATCCGCAGCATCATCCACATTGGTGCACCGCGGACGTTGTTGGATTATGCGCAAGAAAGTGGTCGAGCGGGATGGGATGGCCAGCGGAGCGAGGCGATCATCATTCAACCCGCTGGCTGGGATGCGCCAGCGCCATGGATGGAGTGCATGGGGGTGGTGGACGGGGTGGGGTGTCGCTGGGTGGTGTTCGATCAGTATTTGGATGGGGTGGTGGACGGGTATCAGTGTCAGCATTGCCAGGATCAGGCATGTGATGGGTGTGACCCCGATTGGGAAGCACATGAGGTGGTGGATCCCCCAACCCTAAATGATAATGGGTTTCCACCATCCAGGACAACAGCTGATATACCAGGTAGTATGGCAGGCAGCACAGCAGGCCGCATATCATCAAGAGAGGCGTCCAGGGAGGCAGTGGGTGAGGGTTTTAGGGAGAGATCCAGTAAGGCACCATGGGAGGCCACCATCAGTCCATCCCTATCACTATTTACCATAGACACTAAAAGCTTTTCCTATTGGAATATGAGAAGGGGAAAGAGCTCGGGTATGATGGAAGACAAACCTAGGGAGGCGAGAAACTTCGTGCTTCGCTTAAAGGAATGCCATAGTCTACTCAGCTAGGTGGCCATAACCTATTTTACTGTACTTCCTGAAATGAACTTTTCCAACCCGTGGCCAGCGAATAGGGACTAAAGCCGGCATCCGGGACAGAGGCGTTATTTGGTCCTCTGACTCCACAGTACCGTACAGCTAACTAGGTAAGGTACCGTAGCCATAAATTACTCCAGGAGCTAGTAAAAATATTAACATCTAATAATTAAGATTCTGATTATCCACTTATTTCCAAGTGGGGCCTGTTTAACAACATCCGCAAATTCAGGTTAGGGTGAACTTTATAATCTGCCCACTGAAAGTAATCTATTCTCCAATTAGCGCGTGTATGAGGGTTAGAAAAGGATGATGCCTTACCGATATATAATTGGCTCAAGTTTGCCATGAGCCTAGACCATCCCAATGCAGCATTTACGATTTCCGGACACCTCTCACATAATAGGGAAGGGATGCCATACACCTGTGACAAAGGCCAACCATATTATTATTAAAATAAGTAATATAGAAAGGTACCAGTTGCTGACATCATCTGGCAGGTGCCTGGATGAAAAAGTCTCAAGTGTTTTCAACATGCCGTGAGCCATCATTACATCTCTGTAGGTTACTTAGGTACTCTATCGAGCGGGTCCTTCAAAATGCATGATGTAGTTGAAGTTTGAGAAGATATTTGACATGATGAGGAGGCAAATTCCTTTAGCTACGCGCGACCCCGTAAACTAAGGCTTAGTCTTACGAAGCCGCAATGTTGAAGGCGGTCGGTTAGTAAAATCGGTGCTGTGGTAAAACTAGAATATGAGCCAACTGCTTTAAATAAGGGCTGCTGAGTAGTTGCAAAACACAAAATATGTAAAGTACTGTTCTAATGTAATCCACCACCAAGCTGCGCGTACGGCAGTATGGTTGTCTTATCCTAATAAGCGGAGCAAAAGTGATCTGCGGGAAGAAGCATTACGCACCTCTCATGTTGGTAGAATCCTTCTGAGTCCTTAGAGAAATGTCAAGATGTGGTTGCTTGAAGCAACTTTCGCTGGGATGAGGAAAAAACACCAATAGCTACTTTCTTGCTTAGCAAGGATCATTCTGCGCAGACTCTGGATTATCTTATGTGTTATTGATCCACTATGGAGTACCTGGACTGGATATCACTTGTAATAGGGATCTAGAGAAAGACACTGTAATCTAAGACAACCACCTAGGTGTAGTGAAAATATTTAAAGCAACATCTTTTCAAGCTGGAGAACATGCATCGCTTTGCCAGATTCCCCTCGCTGTTGTCTTAGTCCTTGTCAGATCTGTCTAACTATTTGGCAAGCTTTTACTGTCAAGGATGGCGTGTATTGAAGCCATATCTATCCTTTCCCATCAGCTACTGGCTGCAATTGGTCTCAAAGGCAGGATATCACTGCTACCCCTCAGCCAGTTCGGTTATCAGCCTATACATCTCCAACTCCCATGGATGTGCCAGTCAAGGGTACGTCATCCTCTAGCACTACAATGATGATCTATGATGCATTCCCCATGCCACTTCACGCTGAGCCCAAGCTGACCTTAACATGCATTGTTCAAGACTCTTCGAATAATGGCAGGGAGTTTTCTACTAGTAATGCACTTGATCTTAGGCCTCCGAAAGCCAGTATCCAATTCCCAGTTCCCCCTGCGCCACGCCCCACATCAGTACCTGGCAGTGTTGTCTTTACCACGGTCACTGCAGACCATCATCCCGGTACACGGCTGGAAGAATATGACCAAGAATATGACCAGGAGCCAACAATCCATGCTCACGAAATGCGAAAAACCTGTTCACATCAGGAGGATCTTGGCGGAGGAAGAGATGCTAGACTCTCGACTGCATCGTCAGTCCTACCTAGTCTTGGACGGTTTCGATGGGCGGCCCTGCCCCAAGGACTCCTACCCGATCTTCTTTAAGGGGTCGATCACATCCGCGAAAAAAAAAACCTACTGATTGGCTAAGCAGACTGGGATAAGCTTGGGAACTCAGGAAGCAGTGGAGGGGATGCCGTATTATTTTAGCTATTTCAAAGTAAGTTTTTAACTTTTTTTGATATATGTACTTAAGCAAAAGCAAAGGTAGCTTCAACTAGGAATACCTTATATTAAACAGGAGCTTTTGCCAGAAGAACTTTCCTTGTGTTGCTCAAAATATGACAGAATTTATTACTTTCTAATAGCATACTCTGTCTTCATCCTTATTGTTCTTTGGGAAGAATCAAAAAAATGACCTAATCCAACCAGGCCAGAAGACGCTTAGTTGAGTCTCCGACGGCACCTGAAGCCGCCTTGGGCAAAAGTACGAAAGTGTCAGCCAGCTTGGCTGCCGAATCTAGTAAAGGATTTACGGAACTCTCTGGAATTCTGATTCGACCAATCAGATCACGAGAAATAGATCATATTGCGATTCAACTCGCCCATTCAATTTCAATTCGCTGGAATCTATCTTTCCTGTCTATAAATTCTAGTATTAGATCGTAGATTAGAAGAATCAGACCTTCTTCCCTTGATATTCCGTGTATATGCGTTCACCATACAAACGTTATTATCTCGGATTGGCTAACAGAAAGTTACACTAGTTCCTTCATGGTAGCCCAGCTATGGCAAGCCATTGGGACAAAACCGAAAACCGTCTGTAGGACTAGGACCGCTCAGAATTACATTATTACCATACCAGATCAAATTTGATATCCCTGTTCCCCCTAAGCATTAAATCAAATCATTATATAGTAGGGATATCGAAATCGACTCGTCATATAGTATAATAGTATGGATTCAAATCGCCATCTGGTAGGGATATCGAATCGCCAAATGTAGGGATATCAAATTGCCATATAGTATTTAATATTGCTACTATGGTATTCAATATCGCTACTATACAGTGATTTGAATGCTTAGTATCTGGCAATTCAAACCTTAGTATATAATGATTCGAATCCCTAATATGACAATTCGAATCCTTAGGATATGACGATTCGAATCCCTACTATATGGGGGTTGATATCCTTACTATATGCAGTGCATGCGACCGTAGGGAGGGCAGGAGTGGTGAGATGTAATCACCGTAAAAATACCGAAAGTCCACATCATAGCTATAGTACAACTTTCTACCACAGCTGCTAAGCTTACAGAAGAGCATCAACTCTGTATTCCATCCACTGGCCTTGATAAAAGGCTCTCGCTCATAAGGAGTAGATGATCAATTTGAGCTTTATTATAAATTGTTCCAGGGCAAGCTGTCTTATGCTCCTTTTCGAAAGACCCAGATTCGGACTGTTCTTGATATCAGGACCGGTACCGGTCGTTGGGGAATGGAATTCGGTAAGCTATTAATAAGCCTCGTCCCTGATTGCACCCAGATTACGCTGATAACAACTATAGCCTATAGATTTCCCGAGTCTCTAGTAAGGGCCTAAGACACTGAATGGAACGGCGCTGATCATCTAGGTGTTCTGTGTTGATATGGTTGGCCACATGATGACACACTGGTGGGTTGTTGCTGTGTGTAGAAAGGTTACCAGAAATACTGATGAGGAAAGAGTGCCGCCGAACTGTCAGTTTTACATTGACAATCTCACTCGGCCAGAATGGTGCCAGAGTTACAAGGAAGTTGATATGGTTCACGTGGGAGATACCGGTGGAGACCTTAATCTTTTAAACAACATCTTATCCGGGGCGCGAAGGCGGGTTTCCAGTCAAACCTAAGCATGCTCTTTGATCTTCTGGCTAATGCGCTCCTCTAGATTCTGTGCTCCTTATGCTACAGTTAAGGTTTGGGGTTCTCAAGTGCACTTTACCAATATCGACGGGGACACTGCTCTCCACAGATTTTACCAACATACGAAGAAAGCCTACTGTAAGGATCAGCGGGATTTGGACTTGCCCACCTCTTTCACCAGAGAGCTGCACTGTCATGGCTTTGTTAACATTGCTGAACATGTCCACATCATGCCTATGAATACAAGGCTCTCAGAGTTGGAGACCAGGATACTTGCCAACTTGGCCAGCGGGTTTGAGGCCCACTGACTGGAACTAATGAACCGGAAACTTGGAATGGGTTTTCTGTTTATCTTGCTTGAGTGCGTTGAAACAAGGCAAGCAATGAGGTCCGGCGTGGATGCGTTCCTAGAGATGTGAGTACAACTCTGCAACTTTATGCAAAGGCGACTTCTGCCAGTTGTGGAAAGTCAAGTCGCCTATGGACAGGTACCAAGCAGCAAAGAGACACCATAGAGGTTATGTCGCGTTGGATTGGGCTATCCATTCTAAATGGCGGATCTTGTGTATACTTTGAAGAGTCGTTCCTGGTCATTGGCATCGGACATTGTGATGGACGTCGCGTTGCCAGAGTGGTTTCTGGCCGACGAGGCAATGACGGCCAGGATCTTGTCGTCGTGGGCGACAGCGCCCTCGAGTCGTTTCAGGACGAGGGCGGCGCTAAAGTCGGCGCGGCAGTACCCGTCAGCGTCGTTCGGTACGTCTTGCAGTTGCCAGTTTCGGATAAAACGCCGACCTTGCTCAGAAATATGAAGGAATGCGGGTCGGACAAGATGGTCGTGGCGCCCGCAACGGTCATGTCGACGTCCCTTGACAATGGACTCATGCAGATGAGGTGGATGGCCGACGTGGAGCTGGCGCAGGCCGAGTCGAGCGCGTACGTCAGCCCCTCCCACTTCATCTGGAAGGCCAGCCGGCCCGGGCCAAAGGCGCGTTGGATGCTCTGCAGCGTGTATGTGTCACACCCCAGGACGCGGTGGCGGACCTTGAGCTGGTCGTCGAAGCTCTGCGCGAAGAAGACGGCCGTCTTGTTGGGGTCCGTCGTTCTTATCTGGCCCGCAGAGCAGCCGGCCATCTCGAGGGCCTTGTACGCGCTCATGAGGAAGTGCCAGTTGAATTTCGGACTCTAAGCAGATCAGCGTTTCTTATTTTTAGCCGAATTTATATTGAGGTTTGAAGTTACAGGATTTCTGCCAGTTTGGATCAGGCAACATGCTATACTGCTGCAGACGCTTTACAGCCATAGTATAGGACATAGGCATGAGCATATCTTAAACGTGTGGCCTGTGGCTCTGCAACGTAGGCATCATCTGCATCTCCGCGCTACCGTTCATATCGCCTGTCTGCCATCTGCCGTCTGCCGTCTGCCGTCTGCCGTCTGCCCATCTGCAAGATTAGAGCAGTATGCGCAGCGTGCCTTTGTTAATTCCACGTGTGCGGACAGAAAGAAGCTAATTATCCCATCAAGCAGTTCGTAAAACGCCGTTTGGAACTGGTATGAAGAAGAGGTTGTTAGACAAAAAAAAAAAATACTTAGAAATGATATCCCGAAGATGGATGATGAAGGAATATCCCTAACAGTATATCACTGAGCATAACAGTTTTACCAAACAGGTTTGACAAATACTCCCTGAGATTGTCTGCAAACTGTGAATCAGTGTGAGGCTCCCTGAGACGTTATGGCCACCGATCTTCTAAAGTGGCAGCTTCAATCTCCTCGATTTCACGCCTCCAGATTGTCATACCATTACAGACCTGATTCTATCTCAGTGCTACGAGAAGATACGCGCCAGGGTAGTTAGCCAGCTTAACAGAGAGTGATATCTCAAATTTGCCTTTGATAGTGGATGAAACCCTGGCATCATCGCACAGGAATGTAGTCATTGCCTATATTGTTTCCTCCTTATTGTATGGCACCAGAGCATGGTACATGAGTGATGAAGCTGGTAGACAACTAACCACTGTCAGCGCGCGCAACAGCTAGCATGTCAAGATGCTGAATATCATGAAGAAACTGGAAAATAAAGCTTATGGGATTTATACCTATAATCTATCTAAGAGAAAAGAAAGAGAAAGAAGAGGAGGAGAGGCTAGATTATCCAGCCCTGGTCGATAGCCCTACAGATTACAGATCATTGGAGGGCCATCTGCCTGCAATCTGCATACAGGAGGTCAGAGCATCTCCCCTGAGCATACCCACCGCCATGAGCCTGACCCCATACCCAGATACTACAGTGATATTGAATTCTACAGTATTAAATTGATTGATATCTAGTGGGTTAGACGAGGAGTAGTCAATAATTATTTCACAGCTAATCACAGTCATAGTGGTTAACTGGTTCTTCAGGATTGCTTATACTACAGATATCTATACCAAGGTCATTCATTATTGATACTGTATGATGCTTCAATATTCATACCTGGCTCCATGCCAGATACGACCCCCGCCTCGACCCTGAGGAGCGGAAGGCCGTCAGGGAAGAGTTCAAGGCGACCGTCTGGAACGCCAAGCGGGCGTACTGGAGACGTATCATTGACGATGTCAAGGATGACAAGGACCTCTACAAGATCATTGCTTGGCACAAGCTGACCCTGAACCTTAAGGCCCCGCCCCTCACCGTCGACGGACGCTCCATTGAGGACACCCTGGAAAAAGCCGAAGCCCTCCGGGCCTCAGTGCTCGGGCGATTCAACAAAGAAGACGACCTCCCCGCAGACCCCTTGGAAGACTGGGCTGGCTGCGGCCACCTGCCCTGGTCCACCTCCGTCACCCTCGAAGAGGTAGAAAAGAACACCATCGGCGTCACCAGCACCTCGCCAGGGACCGACCGCATCACTGTACGACTACTCAAGGCCTGCTGGGCACACCTCTGGGTCCCCCTGCTTGCCCACTACAACCGCTGCCTCGCCCTCTGCCACTTTTCATGCCCTTGGAGACTGGCGGAAGTGGCCATGTTACCAAAGGTGGGCAAGATGGATAAGTCCTCCGTCCGCTCTTGGCGCCTGATCGCCCTCCTCTCGTGCGTTTCCAAAGGCCTGGAATGAATTGTCGCCCACCGCCTGGCGTGGACTGCAATCACCAACAATGTGATCAGCCCCCAGCATGGAGGAGCCCTTCCCAAGCGCTCCATAATGGATCTTGTCGCCGCCTTCACCCACGACGTGGAAGCCGCCCTGGCACAGGGCCGGAAAGTCACTCTAGTCACCATGGACGTGCAAGGGGCTTTCGACGCCCTCCTTAAGCGCCGCCTTCTGAAATGCATGACGGAGCAGGGGTGGCCCCTCTCCCTCATCTGGCTCATTGACAGCTTCCTCTCAGACTAATCCACAAGGGTCCGGCTTGAGAAGACTACCACGCTAAGCTACCCCGTCCGCTGCGGAACCCCCTAAGGTTCTCCGCTCTCACCCATCTTATTTCTCCTGTACCTTGCGGAACTGCTGCTCAAGGACACCAAGCTGCGCTTTGGCTACGCTGATGACAATGGCTTATAACGGTCCTCCCACTCCCTCAAAGAGAATGCTGAACTTATTGCCTAAGACGTGCAAGACGTGCTTAAATGGGGCGTGGACGACAAGGTCGCCTTTGCCTCTGAAAAGCTTGAAGTGATATACATCACATGGCAGCAAGACGACGCCGCCCCGCCCATCGTGGTGAATGATACCCTGACTATCCAGCTGATCACCACTGCTGAGAAGTAAGGCCAGCAGCCAGCGATCCGCTGGCTCAGAGTCTGGTTCGACAGGAATGCTCACCTTCCGCCGCCATGTCACCGTCCGCGCCGCCAAAGCTTGGGCCGTCTCTCAACACATCAGGGACCTTGCACGCACAGTGGATGGGCCCCCTGCATCATCCCTATGGAAGACTGTCATGACCTGTGTTCTACCCTCACTGCTGTATGGCACAGAGGCATGGTATGCTAGTTGGATGAAGCCCGCACGACACACCGGCGATGGACGACTGGAGCTGGTCAGCGCACGCGTTGGCTGGCATGTGTCGCTACTCAACAAGATACTCGCCCTGGCCGTCCAGGGTGTTCTCCCAGTCTCGTGCACCACGCCCACTGTAACCCTCTTCCGTGACGCAGGCCTGCGCTCTGCTGATGTGATACTTGAGGAAGCTAAGCTCTGCTTTGCCCTCCGCCTCCAGAAGATTGACAAATCCCACCCCCTCGTGCCACGGATCACACCTCCCATGATTGTTAAGGGGACGCGGTACGCGCACCCGACAGAGGCCGAAGACCAAAGCTCAAAGGCTTGAGACTCTCCTCCCCTCAGTCCCTAGACCACGGCTGGTCGCTCTGCACTACACCCCCGGCTGCAGAGAACAACCCACTGCCAGCGTTGACAAGGAAACTGCTGCCAAGGCCTTCCAGGCCTGGTACACCGACCTTCCCCTAACTGATGTCACAGTGTTCTCTGATGGATCAGAGCAACACGTGGATGGCGCTAGAAAGGTTGGGTATGGCTACGCCATCTACCAAGGTGGCCGACAGCTCTTAAACAGCCACGGTGCCCTCAACCCAAAGTCCTATGTCTTTGACGCAGAGGCGGTGGGTGCCTGGAAAGGCCTCGAACATGCCCTCTCAGAGCTATATTTCTCTCGAAAATAATAATGCTTCTACCATAGCATCCACACCCTTATAAAATTATACGTAAAGATATGATTCTATATAGAAATAACTGTAGACCTCAAAAAACATAATATTAAAAGCTAATATTTTGTGTACCACCCCTTTGCCTCAATAACTGCCTGTACGCGCCGCGTCATGGATTTACTCCCAGCCCAGGGCCTCCCACGCACGCTTAATAAGCTTATTAAATCAATCTTTGAGGTCTCCAATTAATCTATAATGGTTCGCTATATTCATTGAGCTTAGCCCAGGCGTGTTCGATCGGATTCAAGCCATATGGATAGGGGCGTTATCTTGCATGAAGGTCATCCCAGGGAAATAGATTCTAAGATATTCTCCTCCAAAAGCTTGAGATATGACTCTGCAGAGTTACCCTTTTGGCTGAGAGTTTGACTACTTGATTGATATCTGAGTGACCACCACACCAACTCGCAGCCCAAAGCATGCTAGAGATCTTCTTTGGCTTTTATGTGGGTGATATTCTCCTTTTTCTATTTCTCCCCAAGCTGATTCAATCGCTGGACCCATTGTTGAGCCTTCCCCTTGCCTAGTTAAACGGAAAATTCATTGCTCCAGATAATCCTTCGAAACTCCTCCACACCCTAATTCTCCTGCGCCTTAGCCAGTTTTAGACACATTTTGGCTCCTTCCTTCGCTCATCAGTGTCCATAGCCAGATTTCTTAAGGCATCGGCGGATTGTGGTATCAGACACGCTTACTCCAGTTTGTTCCTGGATATCTTTGTAATATATGAATGGATCGGTTCAAATCACATGTAAAATTGATCGCTCGTCCATGCTAGATAGTAATCTAGGCCGGCAGGGCGTGCAATTGATTTGCCTTGCTGACGAAAGGGTTCCTCCAGAGTGTATACACGACGGTTGATTCTGGGACTTTGAAATTCTGACTGATTCGATGATATCCAGCCCCCATTGCGTGCACACCCTTAATTCTTCCATGGGCATGTGGGGTTAGCTCAACTCCACGCTCCTGATTAGAGTCAATTTCTTTTAAAGCCGTGCGTCACATGGTTCTATGGTAGTAAAAGGTGCTATGTTGAACAACACATGTGCAGGAATATGTTATGATGCTTAGCTCATGCTCTCAGTGCTGCCGCTGATCATTCACTATATGAATCATACTGTCTACTCCCTTTATATATTTATATTCACTTTAGGCATGTAACATGCATAGCTTATTACTAGTACTACTACTCTATTAGACATCCTTTATATTCACTTTCTTTATATATATCTTGGTTCTATGTTCTCTTGCCCTTTACTGTATTCACTTATGGCCACTACATGGTAGGTATATATATCATGATATGCCCACCCTTCCATACTTTCTTCTTCTCTCATCTACCCCTGTCTCCTACTTTTTCCCATGTCCTGCCACCACCCTAAAACTATTGCACGTGTCCAGAAGAGAAAAGCCACTGGGCCCTAATCACTATGAGTGATTCTTTACCCATGGTATGATATCTATTAGAATCAGTGTTTATGTCTAGCTTTACTTACTTTTGCTATGGCTTATAGGTGTTGACAGAATAGTGTTCCAGCCCATATATTTCTAAAGCCCACCCGCGGACTGCCATAATCAGCCCTTTTAATTACACAACATTCAGTCCGTGGGTGGGCTTACCTTCCACCATCTCATCTGGATTTTATCAAGATAGGATACATTGCAGATTCCTTGATTGGATAGCTAGATCCACGACTGCATTATCCTCCATACACTGCCCGTGATAATATGATGCACTAAACTCAATCAACAACAGTATTTCTCTTCCTCAGCTGCTGATGACATCATGTCAGATCCCACCAGGGGAACAGGTGATATGTGTGAAGAACTTATATCGCAAGCAACACACTCTGTTACTCAACTTCTACAAGATCGAGCCACTTGCCGCTTCATTAGTTCACATATTTCCTCACTTCTTAGATCAGTGGTTATTGAGCAACACGCCGGCAAGCCATTGAGAAACTAGAGGTAGAGCAACCGACGCCCAGTGGGCTTCCTGCATTCACTCTGCCTCTCACGCCAACTTCCACCTCGTCGGTACCGCAGCCATGATGCCCCGGAATATAAGACATGTTGTGGATACTAATCTCATGGTCTATGGTACTGCGAACGTCTGTGTTGTCGATGCTTCTGTTTTCCGGTTCCAGCTTTGCGGTCACTTGATGAGTACCCTGTACGCTGTTGCAGAGCGGGCTGCAGATATCACCAAGGCCGAGAATCGCAGCAGACTCACCCGGAGGATATTTCTAAGGATAACCATTGAGAAACTCAGGAGGAAGCGCGTGCTGGTATGTCAACACATTTATCCCTTGATCCTGCACTGGCCAACTACGGATCGGTCATTGACTCATCTTCTATGAATATAGCTAGGAGCATGGCGTATGGGACAGACCTTCTGCAGCACTGGACAGGCATTTACTTCGCGGATCTATCGCTGAATGGGACGTGAATAATTACTCAACGAGCTCAGTCACCATTCAGGACTTTGAGGGGGGGTGCTCCCTGCGGCCTACGCGTGGGTTCTTTGTACCCTTCTGCTGGCAAATTAGCAGAGCAGATCACAGCCTTAAGAACCCAAGCTGAGAAAGAAATATCGTCTCTGAGAAAGACTATTGAACAGCTTATTCAGCTGCGAAATGGTCAGAAGACTCTGATAGACTGTCTCCAAGATGACGTCAGCCAGCCTTCAGCAGATGTAGCGCATCTCAGGGAAATGTTTGGAAAGGTGGCCCTTTAAGTCTCTGCTCTCACAAGAGCAGCTAGAGGCCGTATGCACTGTGCCTAATAAACTTGGGTAATTACATGCTGGCTTTGACTCTCTGACTGAGCAACATTGAGAACATGTCTCTGAAATTAAGGACCATATTAAAGCCAAAGAGGTGGCCGATAGTCAATGTGCTGGCGACTGGCGAATCACTGCTGTTGTATACTTAGACTTCACATTGTTCTGATTACATGAATGACATGATATCTCTTTGCTCACCTTTTATAATACTCTCCTATGTGTCCGCCCCTGGCTTTCTATTATCTTAATGCTAATATCTTTTCTAGACCAGGGTCACCAGGCAAAGTATCGCCACAGTTTCCAATGCCCACCCATAGATACTAGATCTGCGGTCTCTGATTACACAATAATCAACTTAATGATATCAGACATCTGGAATGGAACAAGACCCCCATGGGCCAGAGATGGTGGAATGGAATAAGAGCCCCCTTCAATGTAAGCCAGGCAAAAACAGGATATATCCGGCAGAATCATAACCTTCGGATCAATTATCCCAGCTCCTTTGTCGGCTAAGCCCAGATACTGATCCCATTTCTTGAATTTGTGGCGTACAAACTAAACCGCACACTGAAATATCAGCTCTTAAATAATGGAACGTTCCATGGGGCTTTATGCTCATTTTAAATAGCAGTGAGGAAGCCTAATTAGGTGACCACATTTGTCACTATCTATCCTGTCTGTACCATAAAGTCTGTGGCAAGCCGCGCAGATTCCAGTTTAGAAACGAGCGTTTAGTGGTCGTCGAGCTGGTGCTGTAAGCGCCGGTGATACCTCTAGTATTCAAGCCTCCAATATTAATATCCTTACCTTCTGTTCAAAGCTTCAGACATTCAATCATGGCTGACAGTTGGCTGACTCCCGCTGCTCAGTCAGAAAACTCTTCTCCTTTCTAAGCCTAGAGCCCTGGATTCTCGCCACTAAAAGCAACTCCTTGATACCTTAGGTACTATATCAAAAAGTATGGGTACTTCTAAGAGTGTCATATATTAATATTCGCACCAGCAGCTTATGATGCTTCTGGCCATAATAAGGGACTCATCTAATTATTCATAATATACCTAATGGCATCTGCTTAGGAATTAAAGATTACCCTTGCAATTCTTCAGCGGCAATTGCTGTGGTAGTTCGCTACCCCCACCAAGATCGAAAATATATATTTCTCTTGAAAATCATGATTCTTCTACTACACCATCTATACCCTTATAAAATTATACGGAAAAGGTATAATCTATACAATAATAACCATAGATTCCAAAAAAATAGTATTAGAAGGGCAAAAAAGCCTAATATTGGTGTACCGTGTACCACCCTTTAAACGCAGTGACTGCCTTCAGCCGCTGCAGCTTGTCCAGGGCCACACTGTAATTAATGCAACAAGTATAGCCATTATCAGGGCGAGCCATCAATGGAGAACAGGGCGCGACAGATCAAGCTCCGGGAGGGGCTAGACATGGTAGGAGTAATTGCACTCCCACCGGTGGTACTAGCTCGGGAGCTTGGCAGACTTCTCCGTCCACCACTCTTGCCGAGCGGCGTCCTGGAGTCGTTGGTATTCTGAGTAGATTCCACTGGCTGTTGGGAGGGAGTCTGGGCCCTCCGCCAAATGGTCGCTGAGGGCTCCCTGGTCCGCGATCGCGTCCGCTGTCTTCTTGCCTTCGATGCCCATGTGGCTGGGGGACTACTTGGCTTCAATATGGACGTCCAGCCGCTCCATCGCAGCGTGAACCTTGAGGAAGGCCCACTTGAGGAGGCTGGTGCTCGACAGAGGTGCTGTCGATACAGAGCCAGACTCGGGTGGGGTAGAGGACAGCGAGGGCGTGCTTGAGTTCCTTCCAGGCACCCACTGCTTCTGTGTTGAAGACATAAGATTGCAGGTTAGGGCACCAAAGCCGCTCAGGAGCTGTGCTCCGCCACAGGAGATAGCATAGCTGTAGTCTACCCATTGAGACCCGTCTACACGCTGCTTGGACCCGTCTGAAAAGACCGCCACGTCAGTCAGCGCAGGGCGTTGAACCAGGCCTGGAAGGATTACACAGCAGCTGCTTCATTAAGTCTACTGGTGGGGTCCTCCCAACACCCCAGCGTGAAGTGTGGGAGGACCAGCTCAGGGCGTGGGATGGAGGGAAGAAGGGTGCCAAGTCTCTGGAATTTAGTCTTTGGCGCTGCTGGGTGCCCGCTCTGGGGCCCTTGACAAACATGGGCGGGGTGATGCACCGGACGAGGGGATGCGCGCTGTCCACAGTTTGGAGGCGCACTGCGAAGCAGGGCTTGGCATCTTCAAGGGCGGCCATGGTGGGAGACAGGCCTGCGTCATGGAAGAGGGCTATTGTGGGTGTGGTCCGCCAGACTGGGAGGACTGCCCGAACAGCTAAAGCAATGGTTAGCCACTCCTATTTCCTTTCCTCATAAGGGCAGTTTTGATCACTACTCGGAGAGCCCTTTCCATCCATGAAATATTAATAGTAGGAGTGCTGCAAAGCCTGTAATGCATAACCTGTACTCACTTTGTGTGAGATTAACTATTCAAGACTTAAGTACATTATCTTAATTACAGCCACTGACTTTGTAAAACACTACTATATTATTACTCTGTTTCCTTTCATCAAAGTGATTGCATTGATTAATTGCTAAATGGAGTGGAGACATATGCGGGTCTACGATGTGGACTTTTGGTATTTTTAAAGTGATTACATCTCACCACTCCCGCTGTTGAAAACAATAATACTGTATTGATTTACGAATCACTAGCAATTTCTATGGCCAATCGAAAATCAATGAAGGTCTGATTCTTCTAAACGAATGACTATCTAGCTAATATTTATGCCTTCGATTAAGGGCCGGATTTCGGCTAATCGAATGAGCGAATATCGCTAATTATTATCGCCAAGTGGCGGTTCGGAGAGATCAAATCACTTCCAAATAGGGCAAGCGGTCATATAATTCAATACCCGCCCTTCCTACAGTCACACACACCGCGATATTGCATTCCATATAGTAGGGATTCAAATCATCATATAGTAGGGATTCGAATCGCCATATACTAAGGATTCGAATTGTTAGACGTTATATAGTAGGGATATCAAATGATTTGAATTGTCATATAGTAGGGGTATCAAATACTACCATACTTATGTATATATACCTAGAATATGCAGTATCAGGGGGTGGTTTACCAATAACTTTCTATATAACGTATTTCACAAGCGAGCGTGACACCGCCCGCCAATTCCTGCCTATGGGCTAAATACTAGAGCCTTTATCAACCAAACAATTGCATTTCTATCTAAAAATTAATTAGGAACTCGATTAGGACATTGCAATCGCTTATGTCCTATAATATGACAATCGCTGCAGCGCGGTGGCGCTCGTACGCGCGGCCTAACTGCAGAAAGTGCAGGATCTATAGGAAGCGCATCTTGACCTTCATCCACCTTATTCTCATGCTGGAATAGCTCTAAGCCCTCCTGAATAGCTGGGCCCTCTGCAATAGCTAGCTGCCTAGTAGAGCGCTTTCGCTTTTGACCTTTCCATTTATTCTCGGCGCGAGATCTGCGTATTTCTTCCCGCGCAAGAACAAGCTCATTAAGCGTCAATTCATGACCTTTAATAATCTTGTCTAATCGCGATTCTAGAGAAGATGAAGGGCTCTGCGCACGCGCCCTAAGCAGTTTCTTCATTGCAGATGCCTGCTTCTCTAGCTGCCTAGCAGTATATGGTGTTTTAGGCACTGAATTAGTTGATCGACTGCCTGGTGGTGTAGGGGTCTTTAGTTGAATATTCAACTGACTGAGTACCCTATCTGGATTAAATGGAACTAGGCCAGCGCCTGCGAAGCTATTTTAAATAGTTTCTGCTTGAAAAGCGCTTTCATGAGCTTGTGGAAAGGCCTTTAGGAAATCAAGTTTATCAATATGATTGATTCCTAAGCGCGCTTTCTGCTCCACTAAGCTCCCGTACGCCTTTTTTAAAGGCGCAAAGCAGCCCACATCCAGAGGTTGAAGCTTGTGGGAAGAATGAGCTGGCATGCAGATAGGAATAATATTATTCTCACTGCATAGTTGATCAAATTGAGGCGTAAGATGGCTGCCATGGCCGTCAAGAACTAGAAGACGGTATTTCCCAGTCGTCCGACTAGAAGTAGCAGGAATAAAGAGATTTTTAAGCCAGCGAAGGCCTATCTCATCAGTAGTCCATCCATTAGGACTAACTTCAATCCTGCTATCGCGTGGGAGCTTAAAATCTTGATACCAACCCTCTATATGGACCTTCCCCTTGAAGATAATACATGGAGGAAGAGCCCAACCAGTAGAGTTAATACATTCAATCGAAGTGACCCATTCACGATTGCCTGGCTGTACAAGAGAGGCCTTTCCATAGTAATCAGCTCTAGTAACTACTCGTGCAGTAGCTACTAGGCCCATAGCAAAGCCAGTTTCGTCAAAATTGTAGATGTCTTCCTGTGCAATCCCATGTTGCATTATAGTGATTTGTACGCAGTCAAACCACTCCCTAATAACTTTAGGGTCTTCACATTTAGCGCGTCGATAATCATAGCGTCGAGTTTAGCGGGTTTTTAATTCATTACGTCGTTTAATGAAGTTGGTAACCCAACATTCTCCGACTGATTGAATAGGTGTTGTATCGCGTTCAGCAAGAAGAGTATTGGCCATTTCTCGTATATGGGACGGTCGGGGGCTTGTTCCACGTCGATCTAGCGAAAGAATCCATTGTATAAGCGATTCCTCTTCATTTTGAGTCAGTTTATGACTATTGGCGCGTATTTCTGAGCGTGAAGTTCTTCCATTAAGTCGTCGACGTAGAGTTTCATGGCAGATATCGAAAACACATGCAGCTTCACGAATACTGCGAATTTCTTGCTTTTGAATAGCTAATATTGCAAGTAGGACCCTCCCCTCTTTCTCAATAGAGTTATTTAAATTTTGACGTGCTTTTGGAGGCATGGTTCGTAGTTGAATTAGATGAGATTTTTGGTCGCGTCCAAAACGCGTTAGGTGCCACGCTCGCTTGTGAAATACGTTATATATAAATTCTACCCATACATGGTCTTTGAGCTGGTGAGAAACTCAACCCAAGCAATCTATCAAGCTAAATGTCCTGTAACTCACCATAAATGATCTGTGGATGCTCTTTGAGATTTCAAATAAGTTGCGGTACTATATTGCTAGACCGCTTTTCAGACAACAGATCTATGCTTTACATCAATTCTTCTGTGCAAAGTAAATGACAGGAAGCTTCCAGCAAGAAGGATATTCCAGATCCTGAGAGACCACTCGGTTGAAGAGCGAAAGTTAAATATCATCTCCAATGACGAGAAGATACGCGCCCATATATGGCAATTAGTAAGTGAAATGCCGAATTTGAAACACTGCAGGTAAGTAATCAGCATCTGTCCCTTCTAAACCAGTCTTCGGCTTTAGATATCTAACAGTCAGTAGTATCTCAAGCGAAGTCATTTGGGATACTGACCCATCAGACAATATCTTGCTTCGATTGAAACTACATGAGTTTTACAGTCTGATCAGTGACGATGCTTGGCCGCCTTGCTCCCCGTTTAAGTCCTTGCAATGTCTTAAAGTAGACCAATTATCGGATGGGTTGCTCAAGATCCCTGCTGTCGAAACACTGCTGGAGCTGGTGATCAGATATCATCCTGAGTCTGATGAACCACCGATAAGGGTTCCCTGCAATATATCATTGGATTTCTCGCAGCTGCCCCAGCTCAATAAACTTTATATCTCACACTTATCGGCGGGTCGATTGACGCTCACAGGGAAGTCTGAATCATTGAAATGTTTTGTGACTGGAAATTCGAAAATTGAAGCGTATGAGGTCTTTCCCACATTGGGCGAGAATTTGGAGGTCATTCGCCTGACAGATACCTCTGTGGTGCAGATTCAGGAGCTGGGAATAAATTTACCTCATGTCCAACTCATCGAGCTGGCAGGATGCCTTGACTTCCTGCCAGTCGTGTTCATCAACCCACTGGCTTCTCTGACATCTATTGTCCTACATTATGATGCTGATCAGCTATGTCACGAGCTTCCTGGCCTAGCCAAGATCCTAAACGAGTTTCGAACAAGGAGCAAGCCAGACCCTGACATTTTCACAATTGAGCCACATACAGCAACACTGTCAGGCCACGACGGTTCGCTTGCTCTATTTCTTGATCGCTTCACAGAGTCAGTAAATGGTGAGACTCATTCAGCGAGGGGGCGGCAACTTGAGCGTATAATATAGCTAAATGAAGTTCCTCCTCGCAGTGTAATACAGCTAAGTCCCATTGTTTTTGGTGTCAGATGATTGGCTATGGGTGACTCCTAAGTTCTACCCGATATCTAGCCCAGAATTCAACCCGCTCATTATGCAGCAGACCATGCTTTAACTATAACATACCCGCTGCACACGGTTCCCTGCCATTGACTTCGCCCAAGTTCAGCAGCAAGTCTTCATCAAGGTTTCCCTTGTGATTATGATAACCTTCAAGGTCGTGAATCGCATCCTTTGAAACCTTGGATTTTCTCTAATACTAGTCCCCACATCAGCATCTGAACTTTGTAGATGGCTGTTTTACGTACTAATATCTCGCGTTCAAAAAGCGTGCTCAGTATATGGAATAGTTGTCAGAGCTTCTAGGTAATGTACCTAATTACTGAAATACTGTTTAGGTCTGAGGCATCACTATGGCACTCTGAAAATCACCCACATATAGCCTCACATAGCTGAGCACAACCATGCAGAACGGGGCAAGGCTTCAATCAGATGCTTCTCCATAGTGAGTCTGATCCGTCTTGGCTCAGTCACATTAGTGGGTTTAAAAGAGTCTATCACAGCTGAAAGCGCAGCTGTACTGTATACAAACTTGAGAAGTTAATCTTGGATGGCCAGCATCCATTTCGCCGGTGTGGAAGGAACCAAAGACAAGAATAATAAGGACTGAACAGCCAGAGTGCGAAATGGATTGCAGTGGACTAGATATGCAGGGCGCAGGCAAACATTGATGTTGTTTAAGGCAACTCGGCAACAGGTCTACGGTGGATTTAAAAAGAATATATTCAAGAGAGAGATGAGAGATGCCTTTGTGATGCAGAGTTTCAAGCCATTAACATCAACATCTCAGAGTTCTAGCTCTATGACCCTGAAGATGAGCAGAGACTGTGCTGAACTATTTCAGATCTAGAAAATAATCTAAGGGCGTGGTTCAATCCACACCATGTTAGATAACGCCACACCCTTCTGGATAATAACACACTCCCAGTTCCTGAACAGGTAA